TGGAAAATTTTCTCTTCCTTCTTGTTGTTAAAATCTATATAAGGAATAATAAAATCAATCTAAAACCTCTCATTTTAAGACATCTGTTTCATCTTCAAATGAACTACTATTTTGAGACATAATGTTACAAATGTATATCCAAAGATGATGATTTTGTCATAAAACAAAGATAAATTTCAAAGAGATTGAAGATTGTTCATTGCGGTATGAGATTCTATAAATCAACTTTATATTTGCAAAATTATCCATAGAATAAAGACATACATCAAATAGATTGGAGATTTGCCATTGAGGTAATGAATTTCTATAAATCATCTTTATATTTGCAAAATGATACATAAAATAAAGATGAATTTCAAGTAGATTGGAGATTTGCCATTGCGATAATGAATTTCTATAAATCATCTTCATATCTGCAAAATGAGAAGTTTTTGTTTTTACTTTTTTCACATCCATGTCAATGACATTTACAAACATAATTTATGAGGTTTGTTGATTACGCTCGGTTTTTTCCTAACACATAAAATGATAATCATGAAAAATCTACATAAATATGATAAGCTTTATATCAATACAAGCTTACCAAGAACATATTAATGAGCACAAGTGAAATCTCTTGTTCGCATGTAAATTTTGTATTTCTCATTCAAGTTTGTTGCTGATCAAAACTAAGAAGAGAAAGAATGGGCGGATGATTTTCCTAGCACATATCACAATTGAATGCAGCAATCTAAACCTCATGTGTTGGCAAGTTGTTGGCATACGTCTTATTCTTGTGACGCAATTTGCTTCTAAAAAATTTACGTGACAACAAAAAGCTCAAATCATAATTTTTATTTTCCATTAACTGATTCTTGCTAGAGAGATTTGTCATTGCCAAAGACCACTAATAGAAAAGTCAGCATGTGGAACTAAGGATCTGCATGGCTAACATCCTTTTGCTCACATGACTATCGGCAAATTGCTCTCCTTAGCTTAAGTGAGGAGGTGCTATATGTATCAAGAGAAAACCAAAGTTTATAAATTATACCTTATAGTAGACTTGTCAAATCAAGCTCAAGACTGTGAATCACTCCAAAAAGGATGTTTTGATTGAGATTGTTACAACAAATTTGCAACCAATTGTTTAACAAGAAAAGCATCCATTGAGATTGCCATATTAAACTTGCATCCAATCGTTTGACAAGAAAAACACTACTTGGGCTCCGATTTTTCCACAATGCGTGTCCATTTTATCATTACAAAGCAATTAGATATCGGAGCTCAAAATGAGAGAATTACTTGATGAAGGCCATCAAAATTCAATAGTCTTGATGAGATCCAAAACTATCTATTTTACCTGATGGAACTGAGCTCAAAATGAAAGAATTCCTTGATGGATTCCATCAAAATGCAAATTTTTTGATGAGATCCAATACGATGGAACCCTTCCAACAGCAGTTTGGTCTATCGTCACTTATGTTTCATTACGAGTTCTTGTAACTGTTTTGAATTCGGGTAAGGAAAACCACCGTGACTCTTTGTTGAAAAGTGACTTCTCCCCGAAGTTCAGTTATTTCCTAGTTTTCAAGAAGACATCTTCAACTATTCAAAGCAGGGACTTCACTGATCAAAATACGCAGCCTACGTGGATTTTGCCAACACTTTTAGAAAAAAAAAGTAAAGAAGTGTAAGTAAATAACGCCAATATTATATAACAGTAAAATCATTGAATTTGATGTACCCCTTACATTGTGGGTACCATCTCAGGAGGTAAAGAGAGTCTAAAGTCACTACTTGTTGAAGGAAAACCTGTAGAGTACAACAACCCAGTGATCTCCTAAGCCGAATTGAGCAACTTGCATCACCTTTCACGTTTTTCGAGGGTTTCCATAAAGCGCAAGAAGATTGCATTCTGCTGTGAAGGATGGTGACTTCTGAATCATGACAATGTAGTATTCTGGACACAAGGTTTCACTTGAGAAGCTGAAATTGCAGGTTTAGATCTCAGCTTAAAGTGAAGATTGCACTGAGAAATTTGAACTGCTCTAGAAAATATGCTGAGTATTGAACTCCCAGTAGTTATATAAAATCATTCTCGGATCGCGAGAATTTGGGCTCTCGCATGATGAAGATATGGGAATTTTGACTAACTTAACTTCGGGGATAATTTTGTTCATTGAAGTGGAAACAAAGCAGTGTAAAGAACTCGTATAAGAACATAGGTGACGGTGAACTTCTGTGCATGGGATCCCTATGGGATCCCATGATGGGACCATATACATGCCATTTACCGTCAAGTAAAGTAAACTTTTCGCTCACAGTGGATACGCGTCGAAAGATATGAAAATAACTCAACAAAGAATATTCATTCAAAATGGAGTAGAAGATGTAAGCAGAGAACAAGAAAATACACGTTGGTTTCAAACATTTTTGCACGCACTCAAGTAAAATACATAGCATGCGAATGATTTTACACTCAAAAAACACATAGTTCTTGCTCTCATACCAATGGTTGAAACAAAAAATCATGAATCAAAGGAAGCACAAGCATGTGCGCATACACACGACGTCAACACTAGTATATGTGGTTTCTCATTGCTAGGCTAGATCCATAATAACCATAAAGTTTTATTGAAAGTATAATTTTGCTCTCCTATATGTTGGTTAGTAGAAACCCTAACAAACAAGAAAAATTATAATCATATCCTAACTAGATATAAGCTAGTTAGAGTCTAGGTAAGACTTGAGTTTATACTAAGACTATAATATCATGAACGTTTTCAATGTTTTTTTGATAAAAATGTACAACAAATTTTTTTTGAGAATTCTTTGATGTGTAAATGATAGATTACATGAGATCATATGTGTAATAAACATTATCATTTTATGAAAAATTTTGTGAATTAATATGCGTATAAAAAAATATGATCATAATTTCAAAACTTGTGATATATTTCTTTAATAAGTGTAAAGAACTTAATCGTGATCTTTTTTAAAGTGAAAATCTTCTCGGAATGTTCAGAGTTTCTTTGACATGTGTTAAAATTTATAGAGATATATAGATATATCCTTATTTCATTTTTTACTTTCATAATTATATCAAATATAATGTAATATAAAATAAGTAAATAATTTTTGCACTTCAGTCTTAAAATTTTGATATTTGCGCAGATAATGTTGTCTAAATATTATTTTCAAAAATATTTGTCATATTTTTTAAAAAACTCTGACGAAATTTTAATATTGAAAAAAAATTTAAAAATTTGGGAAAAAAAGAAATATTTTTTTTATATAGATGAAAGAAAATTTATCAAATTATTATTCACTAGAATGTAAACTCACATCCTGTATTAAAAGTGCTTAATCCAATGTGTGTAAAGTCACAATAATAGTAATATTAAATGTAAATATATGAGAGATGGTAAATGAGGATCATCAATGAGGGTTTTTGTACACATGGTAAAAATTATCAAAGAAAATTTTTATTTTACCAGTACCATTTGTTAAATCTCTACAGGAAACCTAAAAACCATTGAAAGTAAAATCCCTAGACAATCATATCATTCATAATATTGGCTTTAGTTATTATTTATTAGACTGATATTTTGCATAGTTAGAAGTGACTTTTCGGTGCTGTTGTTTAAGATCGCACCTTAACAGAAAAGATTTCTAATACTTTATGTCCTCTATTGATCGTAAATTATGAGCTTTCTTGTTCTATACAATACTTTCATGGCTTAAGTCATGATGCGTCGGAGGGTGAGAAGCGCTTACCGGTTTAAAATTTCTATTTGACAATAAATTTGCTCCAAAAACAAAATAAACCAATAGTCTAATATTCTTTATCTGAAAATAATATAGAGTCCGTCTTGAAGCAAATTGTAACAAAAACAGGAGGAATTTGGCCAAGTACGTGTTCATCTCTGACTGGAAGGGATCGCATTCTCTGCACATTCCAGAGATGTCAACAGGTGTGTGAACCAAAGGAACTGTTCTTGATGAGTGAGCATTGTTCTTTGCAGGAATGTATGAGTACGCCAGCGTTCAAGTACTTCACCGCAGGTTCCCTTTTGAGAAGGTAGAGCTCAGTGACCCACATATTTTGAACGCTCACTGAATCATGAGCTCTAAAGCTGGAAATTAGTTTCTTGGCCCTATGATTTGAATTGATTTTGAAACTGCTCTTCACGAGTAAGAGTGAATTGTTCCCCTTTGTCAGGAGGGTTATCAAAGTCGATGGTCCAAACTTTTCTCAGTTTTTGAGTGTACTCGTCGCATTGCTGGATGTTGTGTCATTACAGAACGTCTCTGTAAAAGTATTTGGTGCATTTAGTTAAGGTTTGAGATATGACAGTTTCTAGAACGTGATGTGAAAGCTTGCATTTGGTCTGTCCACGTCAGCGGAGAATGCGCAAGGTCATTCGGGCCCTGAGGTTTGCACACGTCAATGTCTCGTCTGTTATAATTAGAGCATATGTCATTGAGAAGACTTTGTCACATGATGGCAAGTTAAAGGCTTCTGTACCCGTTGAGTTAACCTCTTCTAAAACTCTTCGATAACTACGCAACACATTCTAACACGGAACTACGACAGAGAGATGTCATCTTCGTTGAACCTCTGTAATCCCCTGGCCCAGGCACGTGTGCCAGTCTTGAGGTATATATCAGTTCAATTCAATTAACGACGACAAAGCAAACAAGAAATCCTTGTGAGACTCGTGATAGTTCAGGTTGCGCTGACCGAGACTGAAATCTTGGTGCCTCATTTAACTGTGCGCTTTTCATAAGGACATGACTACATATCTGCAGTAACAAATACAGGGTAATCGTTTCGCCCATTACTCTTATGACCACGTAAAACGACAAACAAAGAGTTTCAAGACATGCACTTGTACTACCATTAATAGAAACTACAAAACGACATTGATGTGATTCCAGATTTATTTCCGTCCTTGGACCTAGTAAGTTCTGCGAAAGTGGCAGTGAACCAAGTCCAAGAAAACACAACCAGTGCATGCTAATATCGATGAAGGAATGTCCAGCATTAAAGTGTTGTAAACATCACAAACCGTAAGGAATGTCAAATGGGTGAAACTAGAAGAGGTCCGGATCCAGGCATATAAATAATGAATGACAATTTGACTCTTGAAAATTGTTCAGAAGTGAGCAAACACTTCCGTGGAACCACATACTAAGTTGAACTTCTTTGAACTTGTTGTAGTAACCCCACTGGCCCATAAAGAGCTAGACCTAAAAGGCACGAGTTGCTCCCGTACATACAATCCATTGCTCGCTCTTGGTTCTCTTCCTGTACTTTGTCATATCCAGCTCCAACATCTACGTGCACAGCCTTCAGTCTTCACAGATCCATACATTGACGGAGCACATAACCAGTCACCTAGCGGTCCAAGAGCTTGGAGCAAAGTTGTGCTGGATTTGCTTTTCATCTATTCATAAAATTTTATAAAACACCCTTGAAATAAGGGAAGCACTAAGACTAATATCCAGGGAGATTCTGCAACCCTACCGTAACAGACTTCCTCAGTTGATAAATCCTTTCCAAGCTCACATGAAATCTACAGCTGAGCTAAGCTACCACTTCGGATCCATGACACCAAGTCTATGCATCGAGCAAGCCTTTGAAGCCTCAATCAAGACAGGGGTCAAACTTGTACACAGTGACTTAAATTTCGGACGACTGATCTTTGTTCCTCATTGACTATAGTACAACGTCATGTATGGGACTCCCTACAAAATAAATCTAGACTTTTGACACCTCTTTCTAGTGGAGTCATCGATTGTGTACGATTATAGGGTGACTTGACCGAAAGAATTCAAAGTAAGATAATTACAAAATTACGTGAGGTAGTTGTGCACCCTTTCAAAAAGGCGCAACACTTGATCAAGAGGCAAGGGTTTACGAAAAGCTCCGTGTAACCGTGCTTCCCGAGGATCCTCTGGCGATGTACCAGGCTCCGCTAACAAAACCAGTCGTTGCTGTGCATTGGTCAACTCTAAAAACTGGCCCAGCATATCACCGTCTAGCACTTGTCGTACGTCGCCCGCCTGCCAATGAACAAACTGGCGAGTTTAAGAACGTAGGCTTTACCAGACATAATTCCAATAACAACTACTAGTGCAAACAGAAATGAAAATAAGCCTGTGAAGCTGATAAGTGATCTTTGGCACTCACGGGACAGCCCTGGCGCCGATACTGAGCATGATTGTTGCCCAGCAAAGGTGCTGTTAGACGATGCGATGCCAATCGTACTTGTACTGCTTCGAGCAAATCATAGTCGTCTCTGTGGAATAAGTTGAAGCAACAAGAGCTACCGTCAGCTACACAGAGCGACATTTCACGAACTGTATATTGAAACCAAGCATAAAACCCTGGCTTGACACAAAAAGAAATGCAATCGACATAGCTAAGAATACCATCCGTAACTGTCAACTACACTCACTAATATTTGCCGGTTATAACCTGAAGAGCCCGCGTCCTGGCTGAGTGGTGCTAGTGGTAACAGATGTTTGATGAGAGTAAGTTTTAGGTTTTAATATACTCTATACAGTTGAACGAAGGCCTCTCGTCCGGTAAATGCTAAAGTCGAACACATCACATACTAAAGAGATTTTAAACTTACCGTGGGAGCTGTATAAGTATTACTACACTTCCGAGGAGAGTACATCCGACAAGAGAAGCATCTGTTGCATCTACTGACGAACTTCCCACACTACAAGTTTTCAAGGTCTCCTCCACAGGTGCTCTGTAGGAAAAGAAACCCTGCATGCAGAAAGCGACGCAAAATAATAAGCCCCAATAGTTGGTCTAGAGAAAGAAATAAGATGATTTGACTGCATTACAGAGTACTTATGCAAGACAGGAGGTGGAGCTCTTTCAGCAGGAAGTGGTACCTACTTTCTTTATGCGAACTATAGGCTCACCCATGTGGTACCAGCAGCTCATGGAAAGGTTGCGTTCTGGACTCACACAATCTGTATTTCCAAAACCACAAAACTCAGTTACAGCAGAAACTATCAAAATGGTCAACAGACGTTTTAAGATGGTTACCTAGACTGTCTTTGATAGGCAAGTTCAAAGAAGGTTAGAAGATGGTTGGATGAATTAAGCATCACCTACCATCCACTCCATTCGCTGAAGATAATATACAAAAGTTGCCATTTCGATCGGTAACCACAGCGGTGTTGAGCTCAGTTAGGACACAATCTGCTACTAGTCGCTTCACCGGGTCACAATGGAGTTGTTCCAGCGTGTGGGTGTCCTGCAGAACCACGATTCAAATTCAAATAGGTACAACTGCAACGCAAATAATTCCTTCCTCTGGATCGAGTTCGAGAAAAACAGAGATTCTGGATATGATTTTCATTTTGTTTGAACGGGAGAACGGAAAGTGTAAATATAAAGAACAAATTTTCCCCTGTACATCTGGACTATGGACTGTTCAAAGAACCTTCACAGAATATAGGCTCTTGATCAGGATATACACACAGAAACCATCTTACTCCAGATCACGATGTCCTCCGGCAGAGCAATTCTCTCCCACACACAGGTTGGTCCTTTTGACATATTGAGCCATGTCCAGCCCCGCTACAAGGTTATTGCAAGGAAAATTGGAAAATTCACAAGTTGAAGAGGCCTTGAGGATTATTCCAGAAAATATGATCCATAAAATCAATGGGTTCCAAGCACAAAATCAACTCACAATTAAAAACAACACATGCGATCCTGATTACAATCGTAATCTGATGGGATAGAAATGATCAAATTTGAACCTACCTCTCTGTATGAATAAAACAGTATTCCATCTCGACAGTCGCCCACGGCAATACGGTTCAGATGAACTGCCACATTTGTGATAACAAAACGCGTTTTCGCCGCGGCAAAGCGACGCAATCGCTGATATGAATCATGTGTCTGACCGTAGCATATCAGCTGTTTTAAGGCAATCATCAATTCTGATTGTTAGCGAGTTTAATTATCGCCGTGAAGACCCCGTGAAACTTGTGTACTACAATAGGGTTTGAGACCAGCTTTTGAGTTGAAACTATGAAATTAAGAACTGTAAAAAGTGACTTGAGACAGTCAACACACAGCGATACACACAGGGCTTGGTGCAATTAAAAGGTAATAGTAGGTTCGCCGTGAAAACCTTACGTTATTGCCAGCCCCAACGAGGACATATTGATCGAGATACGGACAAACTGCAAGAACCATCCCCATCATGGATACCGAGCTTATCAAGCTCAATTCCCAACCTTCACATCCACCCATCATATGTTCATCCACGGCGACTTCATCAGGCGTCGAGTCACCAATGATCATAGGCTGGCATGTGCCAGCAGACGACGATTCTCCCATCCCAACTAGAGGCATGATGCCTGTAAGTGGCACTCTCTTACTTCTGCCAGATGCAGCCTTCGACTCTATACGGAACATCAATAGTCTTCCTTTCGAACTGCATATAGTTTAACAAGATCAAATATCAGGTATACGGAATGTTGCGTAAGGCACACCCTGCCTTGGGTCAAATAGTTCAGGGACATGAGGAGGAAGTATATCTATACAACAAGATCGAGTACATGCAGTGAATACGAGCGGCAAATACAAAGGCTAAATTTTTTATGTGTGCTAATACAAGGAAGCCCTATTGAGACCTGTAAATTACAAATATGATAAGAAGTTCTGAACATGTGAAGCCAAATGACTGTGATCTAAGTTAGTGAAGCTTGAAACGAGATTATTCAAAGCCATCCAGTCTAATGCAACGTGAATGAAGAGAAACAGCATCAGTTGTAAGCAGTATTCGTATGTATGACATCCAAGCACCCGATATGCAGCGGACAAGGAATTAACAAGAGAACCGTTAACAGGTACCATAAAAGTGCCAGGAAAGGATGTACAAGCGTGGATGTTGCTGAGGCTGAATGAAAGACTAGAGCATAACCAACGTAGAAAGTGAGCGTGCATAAACCAGCTTCCGCTCCCCCAAAGATCCATATGAATGCCTTGAGTAATCTCTGATACTGTCAAGCTTTCAAAATCAATCGGGGATTTCATCCAGTTGATGAGAACCCGGTATCCAACCATGCGAAAAATCGTGAGATAAAATGAAACTCCTCTCTACTAGTATACAGAGAAGAAGCAGCAGAGGAGAAGAAGACGTAAAACGAGGAAACTACGAAGGTGGCTAGCAACAGTCCCATCCTTTCCTCTCTCACCTATTTCGTACGACATTGTGACATACGAATGACTGGGAAGAGACAAGAATGCGATTAACATCTCTTCTCATGGCTAATCTGGCTGATTGAAAATCTAGCAGACAGATTCAGCTGGCAGCTATGAGCTGGGTATATCGCTTGGGATTGAGGGTACTGGCCATTTAAAGAGTTTGGGATATGACGAGGAGAAATGATCTGATGTCTGGATGAGGTTCTCATAGCCAAAACATAGTTAAGCAGCAACAAAATAAAGAAGAAGTCTTTGCAGTTGGAAATCCATAGGTAATCTACGAAGGACCGTACCATGAGACAGTTTGTACTCTTAAGTTCAGAAATATCTTGTTTGTAGAAAGTCCATGACAGAATTGTACGTTTTAATTCTCGGGCAGGAAGTCCAAAAACATTAGTTATCTATAGCCGCTTCTATGTGATAGTAAGGTAATTATCAGGTTAGTGTAAAGGAGACTTATCTCACACTGCCAATCTAAGGCTGAACATTGACTAAGGAGGTATTGAAAATGTTTAACAACATAGGACCTGAAAATAAGAATACGGTAAGGCACGGAATTAAACATCATTCAAGTCGATTTCAGGATGACGTGTTGGAATCTCGAAAAAAGGCATAGTTCACATAGAGAAGTTGGCTATCTGTACTAGGGATTGTACGCATGTTCTGCAGTTCTACGTTATCATTTCTACATTTATCATGAGTAAATAAGTCTCTTGCAGAATCCAAGAATCTAGTTTTTCGAGGTATAATGTTGAAATAGAGATCGTAGAAAGAGTATCATAAAGCACTGACATATAGAGTATCGTTACGTTTAAAATTGAAGCCTTTAATAGAAGATTCGTTGATGAGATAGAGCCGATAAGGAAGTGTCCGAGGCCGCAGACATAAGTCGATGTTTCGGAGGATGATTGTCAAACTTATATTCAGAATAAATAACAGCAAACTATTATTTCACAAAATAATTGTGATAAGGAGTATTTTGTAAAAGGTAAAAATTTCTGAACAATTTTAGTGAATGAGGATGAACTGGAATTTGACTCTGACAGAACTTGTTGGCCATGGAAAATTGAATGCATGATAACATACTAATTGCAACGATTGTTTATTTATTATAAATACTAGAACAGCATTTGATATAAAATAGCTTTCATATTTTAAGGCGTTAGTTGAACAGCTTTAGCAGGACAATTACCTCGGTAACCTTTAGAGAAGGCGACTGTGGTAATTGTCTTGCTATCTGAATGTGTAATTTGGAGTGATTGTCTTGCTATCTGCTTGTAGCTCTTTGTGCTTAGCTTAGAACAATTTGCTCCAAGTGGCTAAGTTTACGCATAATACCTACAACTTGTTCTACAATCCGCATCAACTAGCCAAGTGGTTCTGCAAGTTGCAAGTGACAAGATATCATGAGGCTGGGAATAACAGCACAGCAAAAGGATCAACTGGGAGGAAAGCTGAAATAAAACGTTTGTGCCCGAAAAAGCTGGGGAATGAACACTCTAAACCGTTGAATAAACAAGACCTTTGATGATGTAATAATCTATCTATTACTGGATGGGTAAAAGGAGAGAGATTTAGGACGGATAGGAGTGGTGTGATCAACAACTACAGCTGTTCTAAAATGTTGTTGAAATCTAGTAATGCGGTAGATTGAATTTATCCTACATAACACAAAGATTTGTTATTATTGTGGATGACATGAACTATTCTAGTGTCAAAGATTGGATGATATCTTAGAACTTGGTCGGGAATATTCATTGCAACCTTCGTATCTTTCTATGAGTGCAATCTGGATTCTGGGACCCAAAAACTGTTACCTCAGAGAATAAAGAGAACAGAATATGGTGACAAAGATGAGAGCCAATCAAAGCTATGCGTAAAACAACAGATACATAGAACAAGCGAATCATGTATACTACAAGAGCTTTGAGAAGAACCAGACTTGGTCACTTATAAATGATATCAGACCTTCTTAAAGGTATGATAAATAATTGAACCAAAGCTAAACAGGAAAGCCGAACTTATGTCTTCTACAAAGGCAGAATCACGATACCACAGAAGATCACGAAAGAGTAAGGATTTATGCAGGGTGATTAAGAAGGCAATCAATATACAGGTATCAAACACAAGAATACATCTGAATGAAAGTTAAGGGATGAGCTTGTATACATGATAACGAAAACTCCGAGGACTTACCTTTCAGGTTCTCCATTGGGCATCATTGGCTTCCCATCTGTCAGACTAGTACCAACTAGTACTAACTCCTCGCCATTGGTGTGCCAGAGCTGCATGCATTTGGCGGTTTCGCCCTCAACCAGCTGATAACACGATGAAATAGTCCCACTCAAGGGATCAACACAACAGATATCTGAAACACCATGTTCACTCCTCAATACGACCAACATGGCAGTCGGTGCATGATATAAAACTCGTCGGGGTGTCCGACCAAGAGGAAGTCGCTGCACGTTTAAGCGTTTTGAGTGTTCCATCTCGACCTGCAAAGAATTCATTACTTAATAAAAAGAAAGGACTAAAAAGACAGGGTGACGTTAACTGTTATTCACGTACGTGTTTCTAGGTTTCAAATTACACTAAAGAATGGCATATTCTATAGCTACACATGGGAAAGAATAGTCTGGATTAAAACTTGTTCACTAACACAAGTACATCTCCATAGCACGACGAAGTGTTAAAGTACAAATGACATACCAAATGCAAACTGCAATCCGCCACGAACAGAATACCATTTGGACAATCGGGATAGTTGACGGGAGCTGCATGAGTTGAGGCCTGAAATGATATCGACGTGTACGCTATTCTTTGGCTCTGCCTTGCAGTTTGCAACAACCAAGGCCGGTCACTAAGAGCAATTATATCTGCCCGTAATGAGCCTTGAAGAGGAATCAAAGTTACCGGTGACACACCAATTCGACGTACGGCAACTAAATTTAAGAGCACAGGCCCTCTCTCTTCCGCGATACCAAAACTCTGTTCACCCTCCTGGAAGATGGCCTTACTGTGCAATGATTTGTCCACATCTACTGTCTTTGAGGAAAACTTGTGAGCAGATACCGCAGAAGTAGACAATGGTACCACGAGCTCTTCTGCTGAGTCTTGAGTTGCTCTGCTTGAAGGCCACTCAAATCTCAGCAACATTCCATTTCTTAATCCACATATAATATAAAGTCGATCAAAAAGAGCCAACCTAACTGTCTCTGGTACACATCCACCCATGGCTGTACCAATCGAATTAACTAGAGCTACTAACCCAACTGCTAGAGGTCTGAAGTTCTCTCCTGGTCTAATAGATAAGAGCTCCACAGATGGCTTGTGAGTCCCAACAACACATATTTCTCCAACCACGACCCCACATAGTTCGGCGCTTTTCCTTGGATCGTCCATGAGACCAACCATAGACGGTGGAACAGGAACAGGAATTGATCCTTCCTCTAGAGGAATGGAAATACATGATACTTCCGCTTCAAGCTGACACTGCTGGATCTCTATCAACTCAAAGTCACCAGTTGATGTAAGTCTTGTTCCCAGGATTAACAGAACACCAGGTCGGGACAATGCTAGAATGATTGAACCTTTAGCCACTGCCCCAAGGCTTATGCACGCTTCACGAGGCTTCCAAGAGGTGCGCTGAGGTGCATGATTAGCAAGTCCTGCGGGATGGGCAGCTATTGTTGGAGCACAGAGAAGTACTTCTGAACTGCAGACTTGTGCGATCCACCCATCTTCTATCAAGCCACAAGTCAACGTGCTTGAGGAAGAATCGAAACCCACAGCATCTGAGATGTCAACAAAGTTCAACCCCACGGACAGTACTCTTGTTTCCTCCACGAAAGACATGACGAAAAAAGAGTGATGCTTGTCCCTTTGAAACATTCGCAGTGTCCAAGTACCAGTGACACCCTGATAAAGAGGTGGTGTACTGTGTAGTTTCTCTACACTGATACCATTGCGGATAACCCGTATGGCACCCTCACGGCCCACGCCGCAGCAAGCAAACATCTGATCCTGCTTCTCACCGTGATAATCAACTAAGGCAAAGTCTAAGATAGGAGCGTTATTGAGTATATAACTCCGAAAAGTCAACCCACCATCAAGAACTTCGAGTATTTCGCCATCTCCCATCTCTATCAAGGCAGCAATAAATCCTCCATTCAACCATAACAGCGAATGGCACGGTGAGCACCGGTACAGACGCTCGTGAATCTGAACATGCACGTCAGACCCTTCCATAAACACCTGGGCGATAGCAATTTCTCCAGAGTCCATGCACAAAACCAGCTTTGGCTGATCACCACCATCTGGCTGCCAACTCCATGCAGAAATAGAGCCCTTTTCCGAAGAGTCTCGGTATCGGGAGAAAAGTAATAGAAGAGAAGCTGCCGCCAAAGTGTCTTGTCCTTCTCCATCTTCATCAACAGAAGCTTGTTGTGCCGAAAGAACGGTGGAAGCACGAGGAATGCTCGGACACCTGAGATCCAAAAGCAACAAATCACCTAGTCGAGCAAGAAGTAGGTAGCCTGGCACAACGGGAAACTCGATAATGCTAAGAGCCAGGTGACCTGGCACTACACCCGGAATTGCGCTGGTAGGACAGAAAGTTGCCAAATGATGGATAATTCTCTCCCTGGTGTCGCAACTCAATACTTGTATGTCGTTTTCTTGACGTCCATGCCTGCATCAGCGTCACGCAAATTGTTGAATAATCTCTTAAGTCTACACGATTTGGTACCAGTTTATTTAGCCCCTATTTCTTTGTTATAGGGTATCTACAGTGAAAGAAAACAATCCCAGAAATCTGCCTGCTGAATATATTAGAGCGTTGGTAAATGTTGATTAGCAATTGCAAGACTTGACTGACATGAATTTCAAGCTTTGATTTCTAGAGCTTCAATGGTCCACTAGCACGTAATTAAAAGCACATAACTCCATATAATCTGACCTTACTATGCCAGGCGATGCGCCAAGGTCAGAAATTCAATATATTGATATTAAAAATAACTCCAAACTCACGCTATAACTAGTTTTCTTCGCTAACATCCGAGCTCTTTGCAGCATTCCCTGGATTCAAAAGTAAGGTCCAACGTAATGTCTTAAATCCTCAACTAGCAATGAGACCTACGTATTTCGTAAAGGCTAATAGAATTAACTCTGATAAAGCCCCACATGATCAGAGCCAATTTCGATGTCCAAATCGTCCAAAATACTTCTTCAAATTACTTTGGCAGTTGTAGTCAATATGATATCAACGACGTATTAACAAAGTTTTGCTCTATTTCGCCTAACAGAGAGAAAGAACCCAAAAAAAAAAACCGCAAAGAAAGAAACAGAAGAAGAACAAGATTAAAAATGCACCCCTCCTGGGCCAACAACGAATTTCCAACAGTAGAGTCTTGGAGAAGAGGTCCTTACATGTGCACGAGCACTGCAAGTACAATAGCTGTAGTGTCCTTTATTTGATTATCTTCTTGAGCACTCTGGACGAAGGCCACACTCCATATTGTGCCCCATCGTCCGGTCTGTAATTGTTCTCCTGCCTCAGCTAATGGCCTTGGGAAGACTAACCTCTGCCAGTCCGAAGACATACATGTACAGGTACATATCAGTTGTTCATCATAGCTTTTCTGTCTCTAGATAGCGACGCGCAATTTTATCCTTCTATCACACTTCGACACTGATCACATGTAACATTACCAGTAACTTCCTTGGTCCGGACCACTCTCACATGTTACTTCATTAGATAACATTTTAGATTTGCTTTAGATGATGATTCAATCATAGCCATAAACCTTATTACCTGAGCAAGACGACCGTAACTTTCACTAGATCCCATAGAAACCCCAAAAAAACATTTACTTTCCCTTGAAATATAGGCTGATGCAAGAATATATGGAATAACTTGAGCTTATTTTCAATACCCATCTAAAGAACTCAGACAAGTTGAAAGAAAATTTTGCAACTTACCTTGTCTTCGACTATATTATTCCCCGCGCAAGATGAAGTAAGAAAAACAGAAATGGTATCCTCGAATGCAGCAACGGCAATTGCGCGTCCCCTGATTCATTGAATCCACAAGACATGAGTATACGAGAAATCATTCATTTTGTGATCCAAGGTGCGAAAACCTACAAGTTTCATCCTATTGGCTCAGCCTAAAACGAAATACGATGATTCAGGAAATGGCAAGACTAGTTTCACCCAACTTCAGGTGAATACCGCACATCATTATGATCTTAATACAGAACATTAGTGAATCAACTCAAGAAACAGAATGTTGCAGTATGAATGTTGACAACTACAAATAACAGACAGACAATTGTTTCGTTTTAGACAGGAAGTGCGTAGGAAAACTCTTCAGTTTTAGATACAGCATCAACCAACATGGATAATTGTCAGCGCCTGAAGTATGACTTGCCTGGGTTCCACTGCCAGTAAGCGCCCAGACCCTGTTGCTTCGTCTTTACCCGGAGGACCCAAACTTGTGTGCGACACTGCCAGGAATCTGACTTCGCAGAGAAGGTAGATATTTGCCAAACACGAACTGATAAGTCTCGCGTCTATTGTCTTGTAATCCAAGTAGAGCTACTCTCACAACGCAAGCTCAAAATCCGAAGTATGAAACAACACACAAATGCGTAGCCGCAATTCTTATACGCCATAGACACAACGGCACAACATCCTTGGTACGCACGATTAAGGAGCAATTCACATACCTATGGAGTTCAACATTGAATGTGAGAAACGACAGTTGCTCTGAATCAGAGAGTAAAACTAGCAGATCCTTGCCATACAACTGAAGCATAGACGCAAAGAGGACAATTATCATTACGCAGTTAAGTATGTGTCAACCTTCTTTTCCTTAAGCACCGAAAAATACAAACATAAGGGTTGCACATCATATATATTGAAACACATTGTACTCATTACTATGTGCGTGTCATAGCCTGAAAGCAATATACCCGCCCACTGGCTGAAAAAAGAATCTGACTTATCGGAAAAAACGGGATATTAATAGAAGGAAGGCGAGAGTATTAAAAAAGTCTTCTCTTTAAGTGGAATTATGCATGATAAAAATATGGTTCGAGATTCCAGGTAATACCTTAGAATCTCTATGCCAACCTCAGATAACCCCGAAGGTCCAAAACTTTTATCACATATAGTGTATTACAATCAAAGGTATTCTTATCAGAGTTATTGATAAAGTGGACATTCTGCGATGAAAAAAAAAACTCCATGAAGACAGAAATTTCAGGATGAAGAAATCAGTTTACAAAATTCTACACGCACTTGAAGATGGGCACTCTTGTATGATGAACTGCTGAACCTCTTGACTAAAAGTACGAGTTATGACCTGAAATATATTAGATTGTAATGGCCAGATTCAGATGTTCCACTAATAAAAACTAGTTGCACAAACTTTTTACATGACAAAAAGTCACATGGTTATAGAGGTTTGACGGAAGACCTCAGGTTGTACGCCACGGAATTCCTCATTCCAAGGCAATATCTTCAAATCTTTTATGGAACCAAATACAGGTTGTTCACATAAAGATTGGACGACTCCGTCATCGCTGACCACTGCAAGTTCCAAAGTTGTTTCCTGCAAAAAGTACGCAAAACATCAGCTCTCCCGGGTCGAACCTACGTTCACTGGTGATCAGAAAGAAGCGTAAACTGCCGAACTGATAAGATCCAATTATTAACCGGTATTTGTCTCTTACATTTCAATGGAGATAAATATCAAGATTTAGGAATTGGAAACATTAACCACCAAGTGAGTTTCGAAAAGATTAAAGAAACAGTATCAGCTAATCTTGAAATCTCAACACCTCAAACTTGCTGTCTCGAGCTCAGAATTATAGCATTCCAAGTAATTACCCAGTGAAATAACCAACCACATCCAAGAGAAAACATGAAGGTGCCAGTGATACACCTGGTAGTGTACGCGACTCAGATAATTATGAAAAGTCAATCAGCATCACGATTACAGCTAAAGCTCTGTATTCAGCAGGTTATGTTACAAAGAAAGTACACTGCTTTGCATTGCAGTGCAAAAATGACTTCCATTTGGCTTCATATGCCAATTCGCAGCTTTTTGGCCTGTCTGTCGGCTCGTTAGACAGAATTGCTCGAGGTAGTCAAGCAAGACATTTGAATCTTTCAGAAATATAAGTAACTTTCAAGAAAGCACGTAGAGGAGTTACTTCGTATGTATTGTGGTCTAAACGTCCGATACATGACCAACTTATGGGGCATATGTATATATGACAAGAATTCTCACCTTTTGTAATTACTATGAGAATGTCAACAGGCAAAGACACAGAGGTTCTGAAAAACAAACACCGGCAAAGTATGATTAATACAGTATGATCGGTAAACTCGTGAAATTGTTGACATACCTTGCCAAACACAAGATCGAGAGTAGAAGGAGAACGAATGTGCCCGTAAACCGCTTGCAAAACTGCACTGCTTCTAAGCACGCATTTTGCCACATATAGAGACGGCTGAGCATCTCCAGGCTCGGTGCTCACACCGTCAGGGACAGCCATTGTCGACGAACTTCCAATTAGCATATTATTACCATAAAGTGAAATGTCCCCATTCCTGTGTACGGCGACGGGTCTCGAGCTCAAGGCAGGCAATGTTCGAATTACGCTGGTCTTCAAATCAGATCGGAGTTCTGAAACATATTCCACCAGCGCTCATCGCTTCCAATTGCCCACCAAAATGAAAAACGGAAGAAATGAATGGTCTTCTCGCCAACTCAAGATTCCTGCTCCTCCTGCCAATCCTCAACAAAGATGAAAAAAAAAAGACACTAGAAGTGACCTCGTTTGCATCCTCGTTCAAAACCACAACAAGGGACACTGCAAAGCCGGAGCATCCAAATCCATGGGCAGTCGTCTCATAGGATTGAGCTAGGTGCTTCAGTTGCTCCTTTCTAGTTTCTCCTACGAGGACGCTCTCGGTTCGTCCACTACCGCGAATTTCGCGCTTCGTCTCTGAACAACATCCTCAAACTATCCGAAGGAGAGATCAAAAGAAAATTGCTGGCTGCCAGCAACGACGACCTGTGCTTCCCCGTCCCTCCTCTCCTCCTCCTCCTCCTCCCTCCTCTTTCCTATGTTTCCTTCGGTCGTTCTCTTCCTCGTTCTTTCGTCGGTTGTTTTCACTTCTCCCGTTTCCCTACCGTGCGAACACGAGCTGCGGTGAGAGACGCGGAACTGCTATTCGACCTCACGGCCATCGATTCGTTCTCTTGAGCGTCACTCTGCCGCGGAATGGCCCCGTCACTTGTCTCCTTCGCCCATAGACGTACACGTGGAGGTTTCGGCGAGCCTATAAGTTCAAACTTATCTATCATATTGTCCAACTTGCGCTACGCCTTTCTCGCGGTCATTTTCTAAGAGTTGACATGTATCCATTGTGGGCTGGTCCTTTCGGGACACACGCTCTTTCCACACTCCCCTTGTCCACCAATCATCGGATTCGGATGACGTCACTATGCTAGGTTCTAGGCATGCGGCGCTAGATGCATTACATTACTCAAAAGTTGTACACATCCCTCGCCAAAGATGAACATTAAAGTCATATGTAGCAACTTTTTCCAATGCATGTTTGATTGTTGTTATTCTAATATTCTACCATGAACAGTGCATCAATGACATCCTCTAATATATTAAATAAATTATTGAGTACAAAATAAATTATAATGACTTTTAATTAAGCATTTCAAATAAAACAGAATCACGACAGAAGTAATAAATTTGACCAAAGTAGTATTGAGTTATATCAAGCGGAAGATGTAATCTATATACCGAAGTCAAACGACAAAATGATACATTTATTGTAATAAATCAGAAGTATTTTTTAATGTTAGACTGTACAATTCTCAACATCAAAATGATTTTCCTGCAATGTATAAAAATAGTAGTTGGCAACCATGTTTATCAAACTAAGTCAAACACTAGACATTTAATTTCAAAGGAAAAACAAAAAAAACTATTCATGTGTAAATAAATATTTATGAATATTTCAGAAGTCAAATATTATTTTAAAATTTTTATCATGAAATCAATTTTATCCTTGTCATTTTTATCAGTATAAAATCTTCAGACATAACATATTATTGGACACAAATAATCATTTTAATATCTTACGATATCATACCTTAATAAAGAATAGATCTTATACAAATATTTCTTCAGAAATATCAGTCTTATTTCAATCTTAAAACAAATTTACTTTATGTATCGGATTTAAATTTTTCATATACAATAAATATTTATATATTAATCATATTTCATTCAATTGTCATGTCTGATTATAATCCACCTATAATCATATTACTGTCTTGAAATCGATACTTAATTATTTGTGCACATATCTTAGTTATAGATAAAGCTTTATGAACTAAAAGGTATGACAAAAAATTGAAAATATTTGAGTTTGAAATTTATTCACTCTCATTCATGAATTATGTCATCAGAAAATTCAGTATTTTCAAAAACCATAATATATTCAATACTTTGATTTTAAAGCTACCATTTATTTCATCAATTCAATATATCATTTCAAATAAAATAATTCTATTATTATCTTAAAATGGATTTAAATATTTTGGATTAAGATAAATAGTATACTTCTGCATCTTAATGCTTTTTCAACTCTACTAATGAATTTTTGGTTTTCTTGTTAAATTATAATTTATGCACTTATGTAGATAAAACGTACAATTTGAAAATCATTTTTATAAAAAAATTTAAACAACATACGCACCTATGTAGAAATTTTAAAATAAAAAAATTTATTTTTCATATAGCGCAAAATTTTTTCTCCGTATTCAGAAAATATAATTTTATCTTCCAAGAAATTATCAGATACAACTGATATGCTTATCATGTATTTGTTTTCTTTCAAAATCATCACAAGGTTTAGGTAGAATAATTTCATCAAAATTTTAAGCATCATAATTTATATAAATATATTTTATAAATTTTTATAAATTTTTTTAAAAATATAATATTATTTTAGAAGATATATATTATTATTGCAGCTTTTTCGTTAATTTTTATTTTACATCAAAGTGTAATGCAAAAATAAAGAAATTTTTAGTTTATCAGTAAGGTTGATCACTAAATTTGACAATAAGGAAAATTAATAATATTTCACTTATAAAATTTGAGATATTTTATCTAACTATCATTCATCAGTAATTTTCAGTAATTTCAAAGACAAATGAAAATTACAACTTTAAAAGGATATTATTATATTTTTCTATGAAATATTTTTCAATGTTATTTTGATCATCTCAACGTGATTTGTTTGAACTTATAATTCTTAAAATATTTGACCAATTTTCTAGAAGAAATTTATCAATCTTCTCATTAGGTTTAAGTTATGGAAGCATTGCAGTTTCAGGTTTTCAAACTTGTATCATTAGTGTTTTAACTTGAACTGAAATACTTTATGATCTATTCATGAAGTTTCATATGCTTTTATTTGTATCTTTCCAATTATTTCCATCCTGAATAATTTGTCTTTAGTTTTTCAGTAATAGCGTAAAAATAATATGCAGCCTTTGTTCACAATATGAACCAGTCAAATAATAAAACTAATTGACTGATTCATTATCAAAATATTTTTCCGAAAATTTCCAATTATGTTTCATAAGTTATATTCATTGGTCAGTTTTTTCGTACCGATATTTTCTGTTTAAAAAATAAGTTAAATTTTATTTTATTTCTCCAAGTTTCATTACATAATATAAAAAAATTTACAATTTGGAAATCCAAAACTTCCGTATGATTTCAAATGACGTTTTCTTTAGCTAAATATTCCAAGATACTTAATTTAGATGCCTAGCCGTTGGTTTCCTTTTATTCCTTGGAAGACTTGATTAGATATTTCCATCGTACTTTACTTCCATTTGGCCCCATTTCTTGATGGTTGGAATTAATCTTATACAGCGAGAAGACAAGCCTCTTTTGCAGATCCATCCAGTCGGGACATGGATGGTACCAACTAGGTAGCATGCAGTGGGAAATATATGCTCTACCGTACTTCGAGAAAAGAGGACCTCCAAGTCAAATAAGTGAAGCACCTCACTACAGTACTAAGATGTAATTAAAACGGTTTACCATGAATATATGGATTTGCTTCTGGCAGGTAAAGCTGCCGATGCAGAGACATGCTGTGTAGACAGGTGACGTACTAGCTGTGCACGGCGTTGAGACGCATAGCAGTCGATTCGGCTGAGTAGTGACAAGTACTATTTGCTGGTCTTGTAGAACAAGGTGAACTCTGGCAGTAATGCAAAATCATATGAAAACAGCACAGGGCGGTCGGGACCACCTAAGCTTGCATCCAACCATTAAGTCATTTGAGAATCAGGGACTTCCGCTTAAGTAAATGAGAGTGGGGTTTGTAGAGACTGTAAAAGACTCAAATATGAACGCCAGCCCTAACTTGATTCTGTTGGGTTACATGAGTACAGACGTGCTTGAAATTTCGCGGCGGTCAGGAAATAAGGAAGTTGTCGGTTTTTTCAAATTTGGGTGCGGGATACAATGAAGTACTGGTGAAGGCAATGCATGGGTACGGTGACGACGATATGCTGATGTGCTTGCGGGGTACGTTGGAGCACAGTGGTATGTATAGACTAATGATAAGTAAACTACCTCAGACGAAACCAAAGTACATCGTCATCTGCCAGAAGAGCTTACTGAAGCGCAAAGCATAGCAAACGTGATGGGCGCTATTCAATACTTCAAATAATACGTCTATAGTTCCTGAACAATTCCGCTCAAGATCGGTGACGCAAATTACACAGACGCATCATGGTTCGAGAGGCATAAAAAGCGATGCAATAATTCACGGCCCATAAACGAGGATATGTAAGACTATCGGAATACAATTGATAAACTGAGAAACAAACTTATAAAAACTGCGAAAACTATATCGATTCTACACAGCCAAGGGCAAGGAACCTACACACTGACGTTATCCCTTCACGTGCAGTGTCAAAATCGCATCAGGGATATCGCAGGAAGATTGCAACATGCCAGTTGATAAACTTCGTCAAGGCTATGGATCATCCCCACGTCATATCTATATTTTGGGTCTCAATGGCGGCAATCATGCTGACAGAGAGTCATCACTATCCTGGGTATCATCCTGGGGCTGCTTCATCACCGTGAGGGCACCGCGCAAGTTGCCAAGCCCAGGTTCTATGTTCTCCAGCGCTTCATTCAGTGTTACACGTTCCTCCCGATGTGTGTGGGTGGTAGCAGGTGACAAAGAGCTCTGACTATTTACAGGTTCTGCAAGATGCAACACCTCCTCCAATCGGATATGGTGCCCGGGTCGAGGTTGTTTGCCATACACGGTAGAAGCAGCTACTTGACTGGCGCCTTCTTCGATGCCATGATGAACTTCTGCTCCACCATACTCGTCTCCCTCGTCACTCCCAGATGACTCGTTGTCTGCATGCACTGAAGCAGGAGTACCATGACTTACTGCCCAACTGCCAGCTACCTCAGAGGCAAGAAGATCATCAGTACAAATGGTATTATCCTGCTTATTACTGCTTTCCAACCGGGTCTCTTCGTACAGACGGCTATTCCTCAATCCCAATTTTTGAGAGTTTCCGGGACGTGCGTTTGAGTCTTCAAAGTTAGTTTCTTCAGCAGCACTGAACAATTGAGGAGTAGAAGCTTCGTCGATTGGCTGGTCATTCAAGTTTTCTCCAGCGCTCCGACTGTTGGAACGAAGGGTTTGGTGGGGAGTACAAGGGTGCAACCTCAGAGTATCCTCCAGCGCTTCCTGCAGATCATTGTCCGTCTCGGCTGTCCCAACTGGGTCGTCGACTTGCATCGTTTCTCCTCCAATTTCTTCAATATCTTCGTTATCATCGTTATCAGCTTGAGCGCTGTCCCTACCAGAGCCAGAATCTCGAAGTGCAACTGCGTGGTCTACACTATCGTCTCTGTCGCATGACGCTTTGTCCACATCCATAACGTCAAATCTCCATCTGTCCTGAATCAACTTTGATCTCGTTTCTCTGACTAAGACTTGGCCCCCATCAGGAAACAAAACTCTATCCAAAACCTGTGTAGCATCAAGCTGTCCATGGTCGAGGACCTGAGTGTTGTCCATAAGAGAGTTTTGCACTTTCGTCCCACTATCATCCTGGATAGTCCCTTTTGAGTCCCTCACTACAGCCGCCATCTCAGAAATTTTGTCCGGTACTATCGAAGTCCAATCCTCTTCTTCCTGGGTATCACCAACCCATTCCTCTCCCTCACCGGTCGGCTTCACAACACCTCCTTCACCCTCTTCACGAGGATCCATTTCCTCCTCTTCGACTGGGGATGAGTCTTGTGGATTTAAACCTGCATCTGGGTTCATATCCAGACGAGATGGAGGCGCACTTCTTGCCAGGTATGAAATTCTCCCTGTACTCTCCACTCTGTCTTCGTTCTCCGTATCAGAATCTTCAACTTCAGTCCTTGCTTTCTTTATTTTTTGATCTGCCTCATCTCTGTCTTCGAGGGTTCTCAACATGGCCTTGAGCTGCTCCTGTTGTTTCTGCTGCAAAGCCTCAATTTCTGCAGCAGTGGAGTGGAATGCTCGCAGTTGAGTTTCTCTGCTACAAGCAACCATAGCCAGGAGTTAGCACTAGCGATACACGGCCCATATCGTCAATGTCCAAGAGTGCGGAAACGCTTGGAGCATGACAAATGCAGACCGTGACACAAATCTGGATGTGAAACAAAGACGTACTTCGCTGACGTACCCATGTTCCGCCATCATGTTTCCAAAGGAGACAACTTAACCATCAGATCATCAAATCAATCCACAAATGGAAGGTTAATGCAAGCCGCAGAGTATTTGAAAAGGTTAGTAAAACTAACCGGAGCACAATTCGCTCTCGCGCCCCTTGCAGCCGCTGCTTTTCCAATGTAAGGTCCCTAATAGCCGTCTCCATCTCCAACTCCAAACTCTCAATCTTTGCCCTTGCAGACTCTCTCGCTGCCTACGAGACCAAAAAGTGCAATAACAATCGGAACTTCGTAAACCACGAGACACACGGAAATTAAAGTTGTAGGCAAGATCGGCCACAGAGAGGAAACACATAATGTCAAACCTTAAGGAATCCAAGTACGATGACTAGAACGTTGCAAGTGCTACGGCAGGAAAAACAAAAAGCCAATCATGAGCAACGGAACTAACCCGATCATTACCTTCTCGCTCTCCAGATCTGTATACACGTGCCTTAACTCATCCTGAAGTTCCGCAGCTTTCTATACATTGTCAATCAACCCAAGTGATATCACAATTCCGACATGAAAGAGTCTCTGTGTATCGACAGCTTACAAACAGATAGACTCGGAGCTACCATCAATCTCAGAAACAGTCATCTTGCGTTCAAAAACAATTAGCGAAGATATCTGGTGTCATCATAATCAGACCAGAGACGCTCTAGTACGCTCTATCGTTAAGAGGAAAGCATTGTACACATAAGTCTGATTATCGTTGTCTAGGGTATGACCTGCTCCGTCTCTCATAGACAAAAGAGCCTGATCCCTCACGGTAAGGTGGGACCTGGAGTTAAGAACAAGCTTAAGCTACTCCAGCACTGACCTTGCGTGCACTATCCCTCGCAAATCGTTCTTCTTGGATGAGAACCTCAAGCCTTCGACCCTTCTCTTCAGCACTGACAACGATTTGTCTCTCTGCCTCCTGAAATAATATGTGAGTTCCAAGATTAGGGGTAAACGTACTTGCGTCATACAATGACTAACGCACAATATGGCACTGATCAATAGAACCAAGTTTTCTTAAAAATGGTCGGAGATTGCAGACCAAGACATTACCAGTTTCGACCTGAGGCTTTCTGCGAGGCGCCGATTCTCCTTGTCAGTCTCCTGCAAATTCCAAGTCCAACCAAAATAAAAAAAAAAGGAGCGAAGACAAAGAAACCTAGGGTTGACATATACTACACATTCAATATCCTCGCACCCCCCTGTTGAATGTTGAGCTAAGTGGCTAATCAATACCACAACGGATTGTGTTAGCACAAGTTATAACAAGACTTAAGATCATCCCTCAGATTAAGATTATAGATCTAAAGCCATAGAGGTGAAGAGTTGATGGGCTAGAAAAACCTTTCTAGGTTAGTAGATTTAACGAAAACACTGTAGGCTCTCGAACTCTTCCTTCCCCTTTTGCCTTCACTAACTCTTTCTCGTCTGTTGTTTCTAGCACCGCCGTGCCACGTTGGGCAGTCTGTTATTCTACGACTATGGTATTATTATGTCCAGAAAACTGAATATACGTAACCTGAAGATCAAATATCATGTCTTGCTGCTGCTTCTGCAAACGAGCTGATATTTCATGTTGTCGTTTCTGTTCCTCCAACGACTCAGCACGTGTTCTCTCTATCGCAGCTCGAAGATTGGCTTCTGCTTGAAATCTCTCTTTCTCTTTTTGATCACGTTCCTCTTCCAAGCGCTTCTCAAGGTCCGCTATGCTACACTTGTGACTGTAAGAAATGTTTGCGAGTTAGCAGTTGCACGATAGATGACATGAATAAAGTCTCTATCAGGGCACCACAGAATAAGAAGTCCAGGTTTAAAAGCCATGATCGTCGTCATACCACGGTGAGCTTGCATTTCCGATATGCCGAAGGGAAAGAGGCTAATCCGTCCATGTGCGAAGCACAAAAGAGTAACTGCCCTAACGTTTTTTGGGCCAGACTGTGTGCGGAGAAGGTGATAAATAAAAAATAGCATTCCCGTGACCACCATCCGCTGTAGCATCAGAGATTGTAGTCTCAAATAGCAGTGAACTTAGAGATTGCCAAGAAGTAAAAAGAAGAATACCAAGGGTCACACCTTAAAATAGCTTCTTCGGCATCCATTCGAGACTGAGCTGCTGCAGCAAGACGTTGAGTCAGGTCTTCAATGGTTGTCACATGTTGCGCACAAGTCGCTACACATTCCTCCAAGTCGCTCGCCTTCTTCGCAAGCTCTCGTTTAATTTCTTCAATCTGCTGTACATATTGAGTTGCCACAGATATTTTCACTTCCTTCACCTCCTGTAACATCGTTTGTTCCACCAGGTGTGAGAGTCCTTCATACTTAAACCCCAAATTAGTGCAAGTAACATTACACTGGGGACGTCTTAACTAACACAACTGACTCCAATCCTATATGCTGATCACACAACATGCTTTATAGTATGGTTCGTAGCATATGTGTTTGCGTAGTTCAATTGATTCTGTCCTCGAACACATCATGAGAAAGTGATCATTTCAAAGAGAGGTTGCGTAGTCGAAAGATCCTACAACTTGATGGCGTGCCTCCGTAGCACGCATTTCGCTGCGCATCTTCTCTGTATTCAACACATGGTCCTCTAGCTGCTGCCTTAACTCCTGCTTCCGGCAAACAAACCCTTAGAGAAACGAAGATAAGTCTGAAATTGATGCAGGATCAAAGCACAAAAATGTGAATACAATGCATCTCATTTTCAAAATCGAAAGATGCCTTTATCTAGAAGCCCTGATAGGTTCTTCAAAAATTCACTGTCTCAAAACCCTACAAAACTCAACTAATGAGGAGGACCTTCAAAGGTGCCTGAATAAGTAGTTTAAATGTTTCCACTAAAACCGAGAAAAAACGGGGATTTTTTCATGCCCTGATCGAGTGGAACCAATAAAGTGGTTTGAAAGTAAACTACATCGACAAATACATCTCAAAGATCACATGTCTAGTAATCACCTCATTCGACCTTTGCAACCGCCGAACATCATCAAGAGAAACAGGTCCTTCACTCGAACACGTGGTAATCCCTCGCATCCTCTTCCCGTCACCAGCCATTCCTTCATTATCAACATCTATTACCAAAGAGCTCCACAGGAAATTGAACCAGTTAAACAAAAAAACCTTTGTACGTGATTAGTTAAATACTATAATCATAAAATTAAGTATCTTGTATTTGTTTATGACCACTTAGTACTTCCAAAGCTACTCATGCTTCACGATCACTGTGTTCATCGCAATCCATAATTAGAGAACTTAAAACCAGGCAAAAAATAAAAAGGAACAGAATCTTGAGGAGATGTCCAATAACCACCATGTATCACTATCTTGTATCAAGAGTAAGCATTGTGGGATAAACGCGTGCTTTGACTATGACCACCAGGACTCAAAAAAATCGGACATCATGCGGATATACCAAAGAAATCATTATGTGATATGGTGTGGATAGCAGTTTTGGACAAGATGAAACCAAGTTCCAGAACATGCAGTTACTTTTCCTGACATCGGTCATTTATGTTAAAGAGATGAGAATGACATATCGTAAACTAATGGGTTATAATACTAAATCAAAGCACCAGTTGAATGAGATACCTGCAGGAGGAATCTTTCTTTTGGGGGCTTGTCTGGTCGGGTCATCAATAACCTCTCGATATACGAAAGCCAATGCATTCTCTGTCAGAAACGAACAAGCTTAATTAGTTGACTTATCAATTAAGATAAATTGTTATTCATTTAAGGCACCTTAGCATGGCGTAAGCCAATGAACAGCAAGAAGGCTGAAAACACATGGAGACCGAGGACTGCAGGCCCAGGAGGTACATCCTGTAAGAATGAAGTACGAACTATGTGTGATGGCATGATTTGTACTCGATTCTTTCACAGAGCTGATCACAAGCTCATGAGATGTTTAAAGAGAGATTTGCTGACACGGTGCATAGAACACATACGAGGTGAAATCATCGACTTACCATGTTCAGAAACGGCAACCAAGGAAATTATGTCCCCGTGTTGGACTCTTAGCTCCGGGCCATTCTTTCTCAATCTTTGATTGTTAATGTAGGTTCCGTTTGAGCTGATGACAACATTACCAAGTGTACATATGTTAGATCTTCAACCCAAATTACATTGATCCGATTGTCCTCCTAGGAGACCATAAATCGACTTCAATTTACCAGGGGGAAAAAGTGAGTCCTCACACCTAGAATCCTTCACGAAGACAACGTAGTGATCTCCCGGAACTGCCTCACTGCCAGAAGGCTTGACGCTCCCATCCAAGGTGGTGAGTTTCCGAGTGATAGTACAATGCCTTCCACTCACAGCAGGTGACTCAAATTGACAGCTCACTTCTGCCACTGTGCGACCGAGCACATGATCGGAATTATGTAGCATGATGTGTGAACCCTTCGACACATTGACAAACGACGGAGATGAAGATATCAGGACTCAGACTGCACATCCGAATTCACGCAAATTACGCCCAACCCAAAGCTGAGCTCACCCAAATTATGACCACAGAGTTAAACGGCATCATACTCAAGCCTGCTGCTGTGATTCCTTGAGGACAAGAGGTACTGGCACCATCACGTAGTTTCTTGAACAAACTCATTCCGATGTTAATAATGAACTAATAATTCATGCCCAATCTTAAGAGAGATTCTCACCTGTGGACGCTTCCTAGCCTTCTCTGACACTGCAGTAAGCAAACCCCATTGGTCCTGTTTAGATTTGGGTACGGGCTGTAGAGCGAGCTTTTGAGCCAAGACCTTGCACTCGGTCTTGGGAGAGCTAGGTGCCTGTGAGGAGTGAGATGATGACACCTTTGCTAAAGCCCCATTCATTCTCTTTCCGGCTTCAGCAACTGCAGAGTTTCCTGCTCCATCGAGTGCCATTACTGCAGGCTCGTAAGGCTTTTCCAAATTTTCCGCCATGTATGTGGCTGCTCTGACAGCCTCCTTCTACATCATCTGAGAGCTCAACATTTCTCTACACACCTCGCCAAGTAAGCTTGTTCCAATGTAAGAAAGTACGCTTTCCCGGCTAGCTGTCGCCCTCATGCGAAGGAGGCATCAACAGCTTGCTAGGCACCGCGTGAGTCTCACAATCATAAGAACTCCAGCTACGCGTGACCAATTGCCCGCCTTGTCAAATGCGCATTCTGTACATCACTGGAATTCCAATCGCTCGCTCGCCAGCACGTTTTCGGCTGCTGCAGCTGCTCGACGGAGAAACCGACCTACTAATCGAAATCATATTTACAATCACTAGAAGATCGTTCCCATATCGAACACGAGGAGGCGGAACCTGCAGAATACTAGTGTCATCACATCTTGGCCTCGCTGCATTCCAAATGCTCACTACGACGACCGCAGGCCCCCAGCCGAGGCAGTAACAGACAGATGTGATCTACTCTATGCTCTCCCCCGGCCCCCTCCCTCTCTCTCCCTTTCTCCTGACCTGCTGCTGATGCGCCTGCCTCCCTGAGCGAGTCAGCCCCCCCCCCCCCCCCCCCCCCCCCCCCCCCCCAAAGACGCGGGGTTTCTGGGCCTCCCCCCGCCCTCCTCTCCGAGTTTCACGTTCCTCGCGAGCACGCGCGAGACCACCGAGCGCAACGCGATTGATTCCTTCCCTTAGGGTTCCCACCCGTCCGGCTCCTAATTACTCTCGAGGCGCCCCGCAGCGGGACAGTGGCCACAGACCAAGACTCTTCATTGGACACGCTATATTTCTAAGACTAAACCTGGATTGCGAGGGACAACACGTGTAGCGTTCCGTCGCTTCTGTCCACTCTCCAAACAGATGGTCTGTTCATCCTCCCTGCCCATCGCTTTCCCGATGGCACAGATTTCACCCGTTCGGCCGAGCATCGAGAACGGTCGGAACTTCTAGCAATTCGGCCGGCGAAAGGTTTCTAGAACCCTGTGGCTTGGTCGCCAACTGCGGCTGGCCATCACCACTGGTCCTACAGAACCCTTCGGCAGCACCCTCGCATGGCAGTGGGCACTCACATCGTGTACGCAAACGACTGCACAGTCGTCCTGGAGTGAACTATAGTAGTCTCCCGCCCAAGTACGCAACTTGAAGCTGGACACGTAGATGCTTACTTTAGAACAATCATTTCCTGAGAGTCTTGGTTTAGTTGCAACGGAGAAGAAATCTAATGAGAATTTACTCAATGAGTCCCAACAATGCGATATTATATAGAATTTGAGAATCACGGATTTTCCCTTTACAAAAAGGCTCTAACGCGCGAGAACGACATTAGAATATCAGAAAGGTGTGGAACAAGCGGAACACATCTAAATTAGACCCTAAACAGAGGCGGAGAATACAACACAATGATGTTGTAATGGCATACAAAAATCCAACTCTAAGCTGAGTTTATCAAAGAAGCTTGGCAATCCATGTCACCAAGTTCTGTCAAAAATATATTTATGAAGTCGGAAATAATTATATAAGGAGCTGATGAGGAAATAGTGAGTTAGATGAAGAATTTAGTGACCAACTTTACACAACTATAGGAGTTTTAAAACTTTCTGTTGGGTATTAAGAGCTTGAAAAAATTACTCATGTTAAAGAAGAAAACATTATAGTATTTGCAACTGCAATTTTGGAAAACGTTGAAGAGGTTTTGAAATCGATGAAGATAATCTGGATGATAAAAATGATGATGACATTCTTAACTTTCAAGAGTCAGATTCAGGTCAGATAGATTCATTGTACTTAAGGAATTCCAGTCACTTCATAATAATGAAAAATGATATAGAGTATCAGTCGCTATGCTTCAAAATTAGAGAAAAGTTTGAAATCTTTTTTGACTAAATTAGAAAGTTGCTCCAAAGTAAAGTCTCGACTATCAGTATAAAAGCAACCCTGTATGAATTTTTAAAACTTGGATGAGATGCAAATCCATTCATGACATGTTGATCTAAATAATGTGATAACTTAAAAAAAATAAATTATGAATATTTAAACGGGTGCTTACTTAAAGGGGGAGACTACTGTATGATTGCTTGGTATTAGCGCCATTCAGTGAAGTGGAAGAAAGATGAGCAGATCGCATATATCGCATAAAGCTAAACACAACTCGACCATTACCAAAGTGAGATAAAGAGGTCCTGGCAATATTATAATCAGGGCTCCATTAAGGAGTTTCAGATCGATAGACATAGCACAATCCTCGTTCACAATAAGTAAAATACGTGATTTATTCACATGTGTTTATACTTGCATGAAATCTGCATTCTTACAATAATTGTTTATAAAGATGTATCTTGTTCATTTTGTCACCATATTGCTAAAAGTAATGTCAATGATACAATTTCTTTCTTCGGCAACCAAGAATTTATCACCACAAGTGGTTCACTGCCGTAGATTCTAGACTTAAACACGTTAATAATAATATGAATTTTTTAAAATCATCAGTGAAATGTGTCTGATGTTTTTGTGTGATCACACGAAAATGTTGAAATCTTGAGATAAATCGTAGAATACAAGGATAGCAGTGAACTTGAACTGACGCTAAAGGAAAAAGGCTGTCACCTCTATGAAGAAGGTTTCTGAAATTTGTCAGTTGATATGCTTGGGATTAGCGCCATCTAGTCCTGCGCTCGCCGCAAATACACAAAGTCGAGTTGATTAGAACTACAGTAGAGAGTTGAATCTCTGTAGTTGAGATTACCGTGAAATCTATCCTGTTCTTTCCCGATACGTCGGCGGTCCGTTCTTAGATTTTAGGGGCCAGAAACTCTACACGGATGTCAACCACGACGGTGACTGAAAGCACCGTCGTGGTCTACAACTTTTGACTACTCGTATTTGAAATTGGGAGTTGACGTGCCCAGAATGAAGATCGCAACGTTCGATTTGGGCCTGCCCGCCTCGATTCCAATGGCCTTCGCGATGTGTCGGATGGAAATCGCGAATCTCTGAAGTCGCGATCTGTTTTCTCTGAGTAAAGAGTTCTCTCTAGCGACGATGCTAAACCGGCATTGGCGTTACTTTACATCACCTGCGGGTACAAGGATCTGGATTTTCGACCGCCTGAGCGCAGGTTTGAATTGTCTTCGCGAACGCGACACGAAAGTGTCAGGGTTCATGGCCATGAGATCCGTTGGTTCCCTTAACCTCTTTTGAGTCCTTTGAATGTTTCATTGTGAGTCACATGTTCACTAATTGTAAAATAACTGATATCCCGCCTCGCATGAGGACATGATTGTCCTCGTGCGCATCGTACAATCAAAGAAGCAAGTATTTTAAGAAGATTCACCTGATCGATAAACAAGTCTACTGAATTCTCTCAATTCAGTATTAAACTCTTCGGAAATCCTTCAATTTACAATAATGCATTGAGGTCGCATACTATGCACATGCAAAACAAAGTGGAGTGAAATTCACGTAGTATCATAACCAAGTTCCATACTATTTCCGATTGGAAAATTGTATATACTTGTTCATTTAGATAACAAATATTCCACAACCGAGGCACATTTTTTCTAGTTTATTCTATTCATCTGAAATTAAATGTAATGATAATCAAGGATTAGCTCATATGAGCAAAAGAATCTAATTTTTGTACATAGTTACTTTCGGGAATTGTCTTCAATAGTCTAGTTTTTTGCAACTTGTTACTTTGTTCTAAAAACACTATTGCTTTAAGAATGTAAAAACTACACTAGTTGACTAGATGTAAGATTAGCTTATTTTGTTAATATTTTGATTTAGATAATTCTTATATGTATAGTTTTGCATTGTTCAGTTTATGTAAATATCATGATACTATTCTTATCTTTCACCTTGTCACGACTTGTTTAATGCGAGGTGGCGTCTGAATTTTTTTGAACCCCATTCCATTTTCTTGCAGTTTGCAATTCATAGTACTTTAATTATTAAAACATATAGAACATCATGATAGGACTCTGATTTAGAGGCCTTGAATCAAAATTAAATCACTTGATAGTTGGAGGAAAATAAAATAGATTATCACTATGTACGCATTACGTACCATCAAACTACTAAACTTACAAGTCTACTGGTTTAGGGTTCGTACCCGGAAGTAACCCAAGTTGAGACAAATCTCGATATTGGGCTTACGATAAACCCTTCATTAAATGGGGTATACTTCACTATCATTGACAACACTTCTCACCCGGGCAATTTCCGTGGCCTTACTCCACAAGTTCACATTTCTCTTTCTGCCTCTCTTTTTCAGTTAACAGTCCCATTACAATGCACATGTTGAAAGGTCATTTAATCTTTCTCCACAGGCACTGTAAGTCATGATCGGAGTAATTTGAACTGACGTGTTGATGAACGCGAACTGCTCTTAACTCGGGACACGGGTCCTGCGTTTCGTTACCCCTTCGCGCTTTGGGGGCATATCATGTCATGTTCTGGAGTGTTCAGTCCTTCCCTTTTCGAATATCGCAGTGTTCCATGTTAAGGAACTAATTGGGCTCCAGTTCGTAAAAACTATATTCCTTTCTATCAAATTGGAACCATCGTAAGGCCTCTTCGTGTTGCCATTCAATCGTGAGACCAGACAAGAGTAAATCGATTAGCTCACCAAGGAATGATGTTTGAAAATTGCAAAGGACATTAAGATTTCAGATGACACGGACAAATTATTTTGGCGCCAACGAGAAAATCATTACATGTACTACAATTCCTTGAGAAAAATCTCGTTCAATTAGGACCTCTAAAGTGGCCCTCCTACACCTTCGGAGATATAATTATCGTACTGACCTGCAAATCATACAATGTACACGAGTAATGCAATACATATGGGCTAGAAGCTGTCATCGAAGACTTTTTCAAGGTCCTATGAGCATGGTCTTGACCATAATATCTGCAAGACCTGGAACTCCGAGTAGAGCATGTCCCTCGCCAGGAACTTCATGGTAATGTACCCACGGAAGAGAGCGATGGATATATCGTTGGAGTGTAACTGGTACCAAGTAATCGTTATCTCCTTGCCAGATATCAACTCTTGTAGATGAATTGACGAAAGGATTCTCCAAAGTACCGGGATCAAATTCCCATTTGCCAAACATAACCTTCATGTCTCGATGCTGAGATTCTGCTCTACCTTGTTGAGTCGGCTCAAGGGGGTTCTGTCAATGAAACATAAACAACGTTCAAGATGTGAAACTTGTACTAATAGGCATGTGCTTGTCATGGCCTGAAGACCATAACCTGGGAACCTAGCTGGCCGGTAAATGAATGAAGAGGTTGAGAATTCAAAGCTGTTTTAATCCACATAGCTCGCGCATTGATCCTGGATCTAAGGTACGCAGACTAAGCCTCTCTACTTTGAATCTCCTATTCTGAGATTGCTACAGGAAACATATTATACTCGTCTTTCAATCTACATCAAGCTTTACAGTCATCGCATTAAAATCAAAAGGGGGGTTGAGCACTGTATCACAAACCTCTGCGTGAACCTGGGCATAATACCCGCTGATGATATTTTGATCGTATTCAGCTAGTCTTGAACGTTCCATGCTCACAGTAGAAGATGTGGGAAGCCATTTCTGGGTCATGTACCAGTACAACAACCATGGTGCATGGTGGGCGACAGAAAGTGCAAGGCGATCACCTATGTACTGTGTTTTCCAGGCTTTACTAGCATCCTCCGGAGGAATCCCGGGCCACCAAAAATTAGTCACGGGAGCGAACATTACCAATCCAGCCAATCTGCAGCCAGACTGAAAAGTCTTAGAACCAAGAACAGAAACAGTGTATAGTTTCAGGTACACATCGTACAAGACACCGGCGTGATTTAACAGCTCAACATCGAAAACTAGCCGAAGTAAAGAAAAAACTGCTGTACTTTCATTTGCTTCTCTTGAACATAGCATATAACGTATTTCTATTGTCGCAAAACGTTGCACCTCAACGGATGTGGTAAGACAACATCAGGGACATGACGCGATGCAACTAACTCTCATGAAAAACCTCGTGTGCCCGACATTTGTTGTTAGTCCATATTAATGGACAGACAAACCTGTGGGGAAGATACTTCAGAAGAGAATAACCAGTATAACCTCCAATCGAGGTACACGCTACATAAAATGTTGGTCCAAGCTGAAGACCATCGGCAAGTTCCTGTAGCAAACAAGCATCGTTCACACAATGCAAGATAATTGACGTTAGAATCTTTCCAATCTACAAATTCGTTGATGGGAATACGGCACATGGTTGGTGACAGGGGATTTTCTGCCGACTATCAGCCTAGCGCCAGGGTAATACAGTACGCAGATATACACTTAGATTCTAGCACTACAAAAACAGGGTGCAAGAACCAAAGAAGCATTTTAGCGCATATTTATGAAAACGCAGAGTTCCAAGAATCCAGGTAAAAACGCAGGAAAAAATCCTTTACCTGAACATCAAAGGCCTCAGACTTCAAATTTCGGCCTGGGTTAGGTGTACTCTGACCATACCCAGCCCGATCATAGCCTACCACGTAGATGCTGAGTTCATCGACAACGTCCTGCGACATCCGAGACGAGGTTAACATTGTTGCAAAGTAAGCATCTTGTAAACACAACAACGCTGAAATACAACGCAGTGAGATGTTAGAGATGCGTGCACGCAGTGAGCAGTAACTTTGGCAAAAGTCAAGTTTACACTTAGCGCTTCAAATATCTTCAGAGTTATTTGAGTAGCAAGAAACTCGGTTTCAATACGTTGCGAATCACAAGTAGAGTTAATTGCTAATTGTGAGATAGACCCCATATTCAATACTGAAAGCAAAGTTCCGTATCAAGATCAAGGAATGACTACTGTTTGTGAAGGCATAAAGTCTATAAAGACAATCTTAAATCCAATGCAGTATTAAACGCATCGAGAGGTAAACACAGAAAGTCCCAGGCAAAGTTTTCAATAAGGCCAGAACAGAGCATGTGCTTTGTAGAGCACAGAGAAGCCACATCTAACTTTGTGAGCATATTTCACAATCAGATGAAAACGAAATAAAGATAAGGCACCTACATCGCCAAAGTAAGAGGTCTCTACACGTCACTAAGAAGACAACCATTCCCAAACTTGTATCACGCGTTTGAGGGTGCACGATTAAAGCACTATGACAGATAGTTCTGAAGAAATCAATAGCAAAGGCAAAGTTCTTGTATCATGGAAAGAAACATACAGTTGAGCTAGAAAGTGTGATGGTCAATAGCCGCATGTAAACGAATGGCTGTAAGAGTGGTTGTAAAATGATCGTCAGTTGAATGACAGTTACTTACATCTGTGAGACCTCCCAAGAGGGCGTTTCGAGATCCTCCATATCCATGAACAGCAATGATTTTGTACTTGGCCTCGTTCCGTGGCACTCCAAATTCTTTATAAGCAAGGTACCGACCGTCGCTTAGTTGAATACGAGGTGCAGTTACCGGTGGTCCGTTTGGAGTACCACATATCTAAATTTTGCATTCACAGGGTTAGTTCGATCAATACCAATTCGTGCTGCACAACGGCCGGCACCGTGATTTCAAAACAAAATGCCACCAAAAAAATTTAGAAACTAACGCTTTTCTACTGCTAAGACTACGCCCTCTTTCTGTGGGTAAGACCAAATAGGCATACATAGGCAGACAACATATCCAAAGGAAGATAGACGGGAAAATGCATTTACTCGAGGGATGCAAACAAACTTGCAACAGCATCACGATTGCAAGTTACTCCAATCCCGCGACTACGATCTACTTAGTTTGAGTTTCTCGGTATGTCAATCAAGCCATCTACAGGACAAACAACCCCCGAAGCCCAATGTATGCAACATGGATTTAGAAAGATTGAAGTAAAACCATAGGTCGTCTGAATATCTTACCTTAGGGGGAGGAGGTTGTATATTTCTGTAGCATAGCCAAGACAAAAGTGCAAATGTCGCAGAAAGTACCACCAAACCTACCCAAATATATCGTACTGGTAAGTAAGAAAATCTCCTTTTTCTGTCTGAATTGAAAAGGGGGTCAATTCGCCCAATTCCAGCAGCGTAATTATGACGAATTTTTCTCGTCCTATCGTCCTTTGCCATTTCTACTCATCAGTCAAGTAAGAGTGTTCTCCTTAAGAAGGTCCACTTCGCATCGGCGAAGAACTCACTGACCAAAAATTTCCTGATCTTCCCGATGTCAGATTGATCGACTTATTTGAGAAGAATAAAGTCGTCGTAGAGGCTAGTACCACCCACAGGAGAAAGAAGTCTCGACCAAAAGGAGCTCAACTATGGAAAGATGGAATGGAGAAAACAAATAACCTGCTAGTGCCCGTCCCAGCTGACACAGCGAGCTACCTCTAGAATGGAGCTAATCGCATAAACTTCAAAAAAGCTAAACAACAAAATTACACCATTTACACACCGAGGCTCGAGGAACTGGAGGTCTTGGGTACTGCCTTCCGGGTGTGCGCACGCGCTGCTGAAGCCTTGATCTTTGGACCCCCAGTCCCCGACATTTCCACCTTTCTTTTCTTATCCCAGTGCCTTTATCTGCCGTCAGACATTCACAATTTCAGCTTGGGCCGCCAGGGCGGGATCCGATCTCCTCCCAGACGGAGGCGAGCTTCATCAGAAAAGGCCAATCAATCAAACTACAGCTCTCAAAACTCTACAACCCCAACTCCCCGAGAGACAACATGGAAATGTGTGCGTAAAGCATCGAACATTTTCGCTGAAGTCCTCTGCATCTCCTTCCGTCCTCTGCAGGCAAAGGCAATATACCCTCGAAAATCCACCCCGCGACTGACTCGGCACGATCCCTGCCCTGCCCTGCCCTGCCCCGCCCGGACTAATCTACCCCTCTAAATGAGCAGGCTCTAAGATCCTGAAACCTGAGACTAAAGCATCAGCAGTGTGCATCATTCAAACCAAGTCCATCGTACCACATTTGCCATAATCAAGTCAACTCAACTCGCACCTGAAAAAAAAAGGTACAGGCACCTCGTCCTCCTTCTCCTCCTCCTCACGCTACCGAATGCAGCATTTTTCCAGTCCTCCTTCCATCGGCCACTCCGCGAATGACCACCCTAACTCTCTTCCTTCAGCTTTGGATGGAGTCTGAACTCGAGCGCTCATCTCCTGCTCTGCCCATGTGCTTGCGTTTTCCAGCGTTCCTGGCTCGCGTTTCTTTCTTCGGCTTCGGCCACTGTCCTCTCTAAGTCCAGCGTTCTTTGCTCCACGTTAAGGAATCATGTCAATTCACTCACAGCACTTCTGGTGTCCGCTCCGTTGTCTCTGTTGTTTTCTCTGGCGAACTTACGGAGACGCGGATGGACAGTACCGCGGTAATGCCAGGTCCACAGGCAAAACCTCGCCGACGTCAATGGGTCCACGTGTGTTTTACATCCTTGTCCCATTTTCAAATATCAGGCCGTAGAATCTGAATCACTTTAGTAGGGAACATGATGATATCTGCCATGTGGCAATCAAGAGAATGGCCATGTGTCGAGGACCAATCGAACATACAACATTTGCAAGTCTAAGGCTTTGCTAAAAAAGTTTTACAAGTTATATTATTCAAATCCAGAGTTTGAGATAGAAAATACACTCTAATTGTATTCTTATTCTCGACTTTAGGAAATTATAGATTTGATTGGATTTTTTTTCTTCTTAAGCTCCACTTGCATTAATTTATATCTCTTGTTTGGTTTAAACATGGAAAAACTTTCCGATCTCTCTGTACATTATATTCCAAGAGTGTAAGTTTCTAGTATATCAATCGTACCCAGTTTCAACTCCGAATTTTAGTACGTTAATCATATCAAAATATGATAGTACTCTTACTACATATCAAAATCATTAGCACAACTGGAAATTCTGCTGCCACGTAACCCATGTGAGAATAATTAGTACATATAAATTCCTCATTTTTGCAAATGAAAATAACTGAGATATCCGGGTAATCACGAGTTGTAGCAAATTATAACTCAGTACTTAACGCACCATATTCTCTTAAAGCCGCACCCCTATTTTGCAGCTCTTTGTTAATACCAAACAACGCTGGTGCGTAAAATATGAACCAACAATTCATGTTTTCTAAACTAAAGTTGGTAAAACTGGAATTGATCCAAGGTTAAAATTCGAACCTAATTAAAATCCTCTATGATTTGTTGAAATCCATTTGAAGGTTTTTGTACATTTCATCCAATATTATAATCTTACGAAATGACGATTTGGTAATTTATGTGTATGTGAAAATAAAAATATATTCAGATTTATACTGTAAACAGATACAATTATATGCTTTCAAAAAAATAACAACACATTCGCAAAAAACCCAAACACTTGCAATTCGAGTGTAAATTTTAATTCATATTACAATGGACATTGATAAATGCAAGTGTAACAACAAATCTGAATACAAAATAAAAACTAAAAACTTAAAGGAATTTAATCAAATGAACAAATTTAATTAAAAATAAAAACATACAAATTGTATAGCTATACTAACTAGTTCATAATTCTAAATCGGATCAAACCTCCATTTAATATATAAACTACTTAATAATAATAATAAATATTTCAAAAATAAATTAATGAATTTTGAAGAATGAAGAAAATTATACTTAATGTGAAACAAATTATTATTGCTCCTTTTTTTATTCAAAGTAATTCAAGCCAATAATATAAGAACATCGTAACTTTTTTAACTAATTTTTTCAACATAACAAACAAGTTTGTGAAGTATTTTAAAAATTTCAAGAAAAGCCTTTCCAATCTACTTATTTCAAATATATTGCTGCTTTGATTGTGATGATGTCTTAACATTCAAACTGATCTTCATTATTTTTTTAATGTATTATTACACTCCAAATATATATTTTTATTTTATAAAAATATAAATAATTATCATCATAATGAAAATAATTTATAAGAATTGAAAATATACACATGGATTAAAAAATAAAAAATTATATAAATTAATTTAGTTGTAATAATTAATCAAAAAAAATTGAATATATTTACAAAGTTATTGAATTATGAATGTTTCTTCATTTGAGCTAGAACACATATATTGAAATGTTTATCAACTTATACGCATAATTTCTAATAGTATAAACAATTCAATTCAAAATACTCATTACAGTCGTCTTCATGTAACCTAACTTATAAAACGAAGCAAAAAGAAGTCAATTGCAATTTCTGCCAATAAGATTTACAAAACAGAAACAAAAATCTGATCACTCAAATGTTAAATATTATTCACATTTTGTTTGTATAAAATGTAAGATTGTTGGTTAGCTGAAATTTCTTGTTAACTTAATTAGAAAAATAGTCAATGATTGTAACTTGTTGAGTTTGATGTATCTCTCACAACAACAACAACAAGTTTTTTTTGGATCAAATGATTAATTTGTGGAATAAATAAATAAAAAAATTGAATATTCCTATAACATCCTCAAATATGTGATTAAATTGAACGAAATCACTCATTGAAAACAGAAAAAATAAAAAATCTTTCAAATTTTAAATAAAATTGTAATCATTTTTGTGTAAAATTGTTGACACTTTCAAACATCATGATAAATACACTTTATTTCTCTTTAAAAAATATTGGAAAATGTGATTTCTGAAGTCAAATATTCAGAAAATTATGTCAATGGAATATTCAAATTTTATTGTTTATTAAAAATAGATTAAAAATAAGTATGCTTTCATGTTGATTTCAATTTGATTGTACATGAAAATTTTGAATTTTCTATGAAAAAACATAAAATTTATATAAGAAATATTTGAAAAGCATATAAAAAAATATTTTATATATCAAATAAGTGAATAAAAATATTTATATAATAAATATTTATTAAAATATTTATAAATATTTTATATAATAAATAAGTGAATTGTGAATAAAAATATTAAAATGCAAGCCAAGAAAATAGTTTACGATGTTTCAAATCAAACTATTTTGTTTGGAAAAAAATTTATATGAGTAAATAAGATAGAATATATATACATAATATATTTTTGTAAAAATCCATAGATAATATATTTTGTTTTAATATATAAAATATATTGTGTTGATCATGTTTTTATCTTATTTGCAAGGAAATTTGACCATCGTACTTACAATCACGATTTGTATGTTCATCAAAATTGTAGAACAAATGAATGATATTATTGTATATTCATGAACCTAAAATATATTCGAGAAAATCATGCTATTTTAATATATTCAATCTTAAATTTTTTAATCAAACATTATATCACACAACACAAAATTTTGATTTTACATAGAAGTTATGTAGAAAATTAAAGTAATTAATCGGAATTTTAAGAATTTTTAAAATTTAGACAAAAATTAACCTTTTATATTTAATGTATATTTGATTTTATTGATTTATACAATATTTCCAATAATATAAATTTCTTTAATTTTTTCCAATAGCAATAAATTATCATGGATTTGATTCAATATTGAAGAAAGAAATTTCATATCTAATTTAAATAACAAATTTTTAAACAAATTCCATTTTATAAAATATAATAACCAACTTATAAACTTTTGATTTCATCATATTAATCTTTCCAAAGCTTTTAACTTGACATTGATTTAAGTACTATGAAAAAAATAGAAACAACATTTTTAATTTATTTCATAAATATAAATAAAAAATTATAGATAATAATTGTTATTTAATATGCATGTTAAGATTTTTGGAAATTTTCATCAATTTCTAATAGGAAATGTCATTAAAAAATGCATGTACATTTTGAATCAAATGAATTACTCATCATTCAGATTTTTGTTAAATTATCTACATTATAAATAAAAATTTGGTGCAAACTTTAGTATTTATAAGAATAAAGCTTCAATATTGTTTTTATGGATGTAGTAAATTGTGTATATCATGTATTTTGACATTGACATTTTTGTTAATGGTGTTCTCTATATTTTGATGTATTGTAGTTTTGATTAGAGATTGATGCTTCAATGTATTTATTTGTTACAATTAGATTTAAGTTATCAAACATTTAGATCGTGATCACTATGTTGAATCTCATTCATGTTTAAGTAAATTTTATTTGTGATAACTCATCAAAATTGTAAAAGACAAGTACTATTGTACATGTTTACATGTTTAACACATTATCACACAAACTCTACGATTTATCTTGATCTCCAATTACTCATAAACAATAGAAGATAAAAATATAATTCAATATTCTATTGATGAGACAAGTTTTTATTAAAAGTAATTTTCAAATTTGTTTGATAAACTTTTATTTATGTATATTATTTGAAAAAATAAAATAGCAAGCTATAGTAATTATTAACTAACTTACTTTAAAAAGATAAATCTTGAGAGTTTTAACTAATTTTCATAATTTGATAACATATCATTCATTTAGCTACATATTCTAGAAGTTCTTTTGTGCTTATATTAAAATAACAAAATGATATTTGAGACCTTGGATTTTATGATACTTTCACATGACACAAAATCAAATTTAAATTAAAGAGCAAAAATGACGTATATTTGACTTTATAATAGAAATTATTTCTATTATATAGTCAAACAATCAAGACGAACATAACTGAAAATATTTTATCTTTAAAATATAAATTCATGACTTCAAGAAGTACTATGTTTTTTCCCAACGTGTATAGACTAAATAGCTAGATTGATTCATTATTACATAAATTTAGTCATGATTAAGCTAGCCAAGTTTAATTATTTGGTTATTTATATGATCAATCCACACAAAAAAAACATTAGTTTTATAGATTTAGATTTGTTGCGTAGATGAAAAACATATTGATGTTTACAATAAGATATCTAGACTTTTAACTATGAATCATACCGCATATTTAAACATCTGACCAAAACAATTTTGATATGCAAAATACACAATTCAATCTTCAACGCTTATAACGATCTACACTATAGATGAAACTCAACAATAAGTGCCATTTTTTTTTCTTTTGAATGTGTCTATAAAATTTAGTAAAATTCAGAAATGCGCATCAATGCTTATAAGTAGATTTTTTCATATAAAACTGATTTGTAAACCACTCACTTTTCTTTTGTATATCGTGTTGACTGCAAAGTGAATAAAATGTTAATTTGATTTCATTTGATTCAATCAAAATATTCACTTGTTTTTTTTATCTTTTGAAATCATCCAAAGCAAATTCATTATGATATTTATTTTTCAATTGCAATAAATTAATATTTTTCTACTTTTATTATCTATGAATTTTATATGAAAGTGAAAAAATGT